ACTAGTCGCATTATCACAAAGGAAAAGGGCTTGACACCCCGGAAACGCTGATTCAAAGACTGGAATCACCAACTTCATAACTTGTTCAATCAGCTGATCCCCATCCCACCATTTATCTCCTCCATACTCAATTGAATAAGTAGTTAGTTTTGAGTCCTTGCGTTTAGGCCCATCATCTAATATTCCATATTCAATCACTGGGGGGTTTTCAACATCCTCAGAAACCCGAAGTCGTCCTCCAGGTGTCAGGAAATCGGATACCATTATTCCTTTGCCACGAGTTTTCTTCTTCAGTGGGATGTGATCCTCCTTTACCCATATCTTTGATCTTCCATCATTGACATGAAATGTTGACTCATCATACACAATTAAGACAACTGGCTTGATACCGGGAGGTAAATTTAATGGATATATGATACGAATCTCCTCGTTACTGTTGGAGTTTATCAATTCCCAACGTACTATACGATCTTGTAAAGCTTGTAAAGCAGGCAAGAATTGCTCTTGTCTGTATTGGACAACATCAGCCCTTTCATGGCCGTCCTTATAAACTCCCTTACAAATGTCGCAAAACTTGTAGCCCATCTCATGTAGCCATTGGACAGCCGTTTGACAGCTGAGTGTATCCTGAACTTCCTGTCGTGACTCTGCCAGTGCAGCCAATTGGGCACTTGTTTCTGAGGAATATGGCAAAGGTGGATTCTTTGATCCTGGCTGCTTTTCAAATGGCTGAATTCCAGTTTGCCAATACGCTGAGATTGTATAAGCAACACTTTGGCCAGTGATTGCCTCACCAGCTCCGGCCAAATATTCTCTGAGAACAAGCTTTGTACCTTCATCATCGATCAAACAGTGCAGCATAGGTGACCTGCCTTGGTATGTAGAAGGAATCTGACAACTCTTGATCCAGCTTCATTCATTTTGGATAATTCAATCTCATACTCGGTTCCCATGCCCATTCGCTGCTGCAATAAATGAGGCCGCATCTTTCCGTGTTCTTTTCCAGAACGTTTTTTGCAGCCATATCTCTGAAAGCGAAGGAATTCTAAAACTTGCAAATGATACTCAAGGTCTTAGCGCTTTGGTGCTCTGCATTTAGACCGCAATAGCTTTCGCATATCATGAATCCCTAAGTATTTCTCAGTTAAAAATTACTGACTATTGCATGTACTGGACATGCTACTTACCTTTTGTTAGGATTTGATACTGAAAGCATGTTGCTTGATACCTGGATAAGACAGGCCAGCTTTCCTTAGCCTCAGCTAAATCCTCACTCTCTCTTCTCTCATCTTGCTCCTCTTGATCATTCTCTGCTTCCTCATTTACCTCTTCTATCTCTTCAACCACTTGTCATTCATCTGGAGCCTCCTCGTCCTACTCCTCTTCATGGCTAGATGCCTCTCCATCAACCTGCTCGCCCTCTAGCTCTATCCTCAAAACTTGCTCCAAGTTCTCCAATTCCTCCTCCCTTGTCCTTTGCTCCTTCTTCTTCCGTCTCTAGATTGTTTGTCGACATGGTGCCTTTCCTCCTCTCCCTGCTCTCATCTGAAATCCCGGCACTTCTATTAATTACAAACATTAGAAAGTTAGTCTTTATCATAAAACTCACTTTTATGGATAAATTTACTAGATACTCACCATTCTGCTCATCTACTTCTTTACAATTAAAATCCCCCAACACAGAATTATGTGCTTCTTCCACTTGTTCTTGATTAAGTGTGCCTCGTGGCCGACCACCTAATCTGCCTGCAGCACGACTTTGTTGTATACGCTTTTTAACTCTAGTCATCTTGTATTTGTCGACCTTGGTTGCAGATATCCTAGTTGTTTCTTGCTTGTATATCTTACATGATCTTTCATGATTCCAACTTTCACTATTTTCTATACTTACTAATCAGATTCATGTTGCATTTTTATGCCAAGACTATTAAACTTACACCAAATTTCCAACTTTTAAAACAAGTATACCATTCTTTCAGCTTGTGTTTACAAATTAAAATAATCGTACTTTTATTCTACTTAGTGTCTTCTATATCTCCACAGTTTTTTCATATTATTTAAGCCAGTATTGGGTTAGTTATACTTGTTTGAAAATTCCTGAAAATAAGGTTTACACTTATCCCTTGATGCACCTATAGTTAGTGCAATGACTAGCTTTACCTAACTAACTATGGAGTACTCTAGATGGCCTTGAAGGATTGAAAATCGACGCTTGAAGACTCCAAAGGCTCTCTCAATCATATTACGTAATTGACAATGACAAAGATTGAAAAGTTCTTCTTTGTTTGATAGCCTATTATTATTTGAAATATAATTAGTACCATTATTATACAGAAAGTTGTGCTTGCATTATAATTAATAATGCTTTCAACAGACCTTTTTTGAGACTGATTATATTCATACAAACGATATCTGACTCCACAATATGGCATTAAACATTGATTACTCAATGCATATCCAGCATCACCTAGATAGTATTTTCCATCTGGAATTGTAAATCCTTTCGATAGTGCCTCTTTGAATACTTTTCCATCAGCTACTGAACCCTCCCAACCTACTAAAACAAAGCAAAAGTACATACTAAATATACAAGCAGCAAAAACGTTTTGTAATACCTGTCTCTTGTGATTACAATAGTATGCGAGCATGCTGTTTGGAACATGAGCAGTGATACATGTACTATTGATTACACCTAGGGCATTCTTGAAATATGAATAATACTTAAAATTGCGCTATACCTTATATGGACATTCGTTTGGTAGTAGTACAACCCACTCTTTAGCTAATTCCATCATCCCATTAAGGACCAGATTGAAATACCTAATGACAAAGAAATTAGGGATCAAATATCTTTCACATAATAATCTTTAAGATACATAAGATAACTGTAATAAACTTACCTGCTGATACTATCTCCACTGTGCTGGAATCTTTCTTGAACCTGACTGTTTGATCCATTATGTGAGACTGTCCAGACAAATATTACTACTTGTTCAGTCACAGAGATATACTTTGTACTTCTCAAGTATTAACCCTGTTCTAACAATTTATATAATCACTAAAACATATGTCTTGACATATGAAAAACTTCTTGAAAGCACTACTGTCTTGTATTTACCGACCAGAGTTTCTCCAGGTATACCTGACCAGTTAGGATAGAGGTACAGATTCTTGTAGTCTCAAAGCGATGATTGACTGACTCTACAACATTTGTGATTATATGAAGCAAATTGATTAGTTTGTGTAAGCAGAGTGAATTTGTTTCAGATAATTCAGAATCACTATCAGAACCACTTTCATTAGAGAAAGTAATATTGATATCTTGGCTATTTGCAGCCGGAATATCTGCCGATTGATATTTATTCATAGTGAAAAGAGGCTAATAATTGAGGTATTTGGATAGTAGAGTTGTATATTCTATAGGCTCTTTTCAAAAACTAAAGTAATATTACGTTTCATTTCATTGCATCAAAACATGCCTTATATTTCATGATTTAGGCATAGCCCTACAATAAATATATACTATAAAAATTTATATACTCAATAAAAACATATCAGAATAAAAAGCCTACTACCGAATATACTCCTATATAAAAACTAAAATATGCCAAAATTTATGCTATAAAAGTGATATGCTAAACAGGGCCTATGTTATAAATAATTTTTCATAATATGCCATACTTGTTCAATCAGGTTTAAGTCTGGTGAGAAGGGAGGCCAGTAAATGACAGGAATTCCTCTTTCTTAAAGATCAGTAACTGTATCAACCGCTACATAACCAAGTGCTCCATTCTGCATCAGTTTTAAATAAATTCTGTTGTGCTAGCATAGTTCCAAATACCTATATATAATAGAAACTGTATATGTACAGTGGGTTTCCAAATTGATTAACCCCCAATCCTTCTCCTAAAAGATGCCCAGACCCTGTACATCTCCATAGAAATGCTTCCAAAACATCTACCCTTTCTTTCTCTGATGTTTTTCAATAATACATGTTGGATTCCACTCTTCACCAGCCCTTCTAGTAACCCAGGTTCTTGTATGCCTTCCTTCTGTAATCCAAGTTTCATCGGTCCAGAGGATTAAATACTACCAGTCCATAGCCCACTGGTAATTCATATAATCCAAAGCCTACTAAAGTCTAATTACTCAATTACATTTACTGACTGGTGGTTTTCTCATTGTAAGCCAGCCATGAAATGCCTCTTTCATTAGTACTGATCTAACTACAGTTTTTCCTATACCTAACTCTCACTCTTCTGCAAGTTGTTTGAAAGAAAGATGCTGATTATAAGTAGATGAGTAGACATAGGCAATAGGGTCTTCTGTTTGAACTTGGGAAGAATGGGAGGACAACCTAGCCTCTTTGTTGGAGTAGCCAGTAAGGTATATTCATATTGGATCTGGGAAACAGAATGTCCAGTTTTTTTTCAAATTTGGACATACTACCATCTAATTGACCATAAAAGTTAACTGTTGCATCTCTGATCCTGTGCCACATGGGAAGTTCCAGGATGCTCTGAGTCCATTTTGGTACTGGTGTATGGCTTCAAGTTATTTGTTAATGGACAGATTTTAATAGAGTCACTATTGTGAAAAAATCTTCACATTCACCTTATTCCTTACACTATTCCACATTCACCTTACTTGACCATTCATGAAGTATTGGGATGCCTTGGCGCCAAGATTCCATCTTTAGCTACTGGTTTGTAGACCTTGGCACCAAGGCATCCGAATACTTTATAAATGGTCAAGTACTCCTTGCGCTATTCCATATTCACTCACATTACCCCTGCTAGCGAGTCCCCCCTGCTAGTAAAATCTACCTGTACAAAACTTACCGGCTGTACCTCCGTATTATAATATGTTTGGTATTGTAAAAATTTTCGGGAGTGCCAAGACCAGTTGTCCCACAATTTTCTTCACGCGACTAGGACCCCAAGACGGTACCATTATCGTAGACATGATGATCAATACGGTAGTGTTGTCACTCTCTAGTGTGAACACCAGCAGACCTTATGATACAGTACTGTATTACTGTATGACACTCCCACGAAGTCCTCGAGCACCGGCCACTTGAGCCCGTGCCAGATATCCCTAGTCTACCGGTATCACACCTCACTCGATGTGACGGGGGCCTTAGCATACGGTACGGTAGTTACCCTCCTGCTCCCTTACGGTAGTCGGAAGGTTACAACTCCCTGGACTCTACGTGCCACCTCTCCCCGCCTCCTTGTGCGTCCCTGCAACCTAAAGTTATCTCCCTCTCATCGCCCCGATCAAAGTAGCATCACCCTGTCGCACCTGCCTCTCCTTCGTTCCCAATAACCAACTGGCCCGATATTCGCTTCTTAATTTGCGTTGCCTCAGTCCAACTCTCTTTCACTTCTTTCTTAATCCGGCAATGGCATCCTCGTCCTCGCGTGCCTATCATACCTCTACAGAGTCTACAAGGCGGGGTCATCGAACTGATGGCAGCTCCAGGGCCCGTGCAAGGGAGAGAGCAGCAGAGACTACTAATTCACCGCCGCCCTCGGCAAGTGCAAGAAGGCCGGTGACCCGGGGGAGCTTCTCCTCCACTGTCATCGGCGATAAACGGATTACCGAGAGATCACATGTAACAGAAACTACCTCCCGCGGTGTTCGTACGAAGTCTCCCAACCGTGATGAGAAGGCCGGATCGAAACCTGATTCATTTTCCGCAGGAGTGGGGGCGGCTCTCAGCCGTATTAATTCTCCTAGTACGCAACTGAATGCCCTTAATTCCAATATAGCTTCTAAAATGATTGATGAAAAGCTTACGGTAGACATTAACAACCAACTTCAGCTGCCTGGAACCCTGAGGCTACGCTAATACCCCCCACTACTGCCCCGCTCGCGTCTCGTATCTCCATCGCCCCTTTAGCATCCCAACTACCTACCTCCTGTTTCCCCCCAGCTTTAGATGAGATGACCCTTGGCCTCCAGGAAGCTTCAATTCTCGAGGACCTGTTGTTTGTCTTCATGGTGAGCACAACCCCGAACATACCGCCTGATCCCCTTGTTGAAGACCTCTGCAGGGTTACGAAGGGCAATACATCAGATTCCGTAGTGATTATAACCCAGCCTCCGAAAGCGACCGGCTCGCTGGACCGCAATTCAAGATCCTGCCTGGATTGGATCCCTCTTTACGAGACCTCACCAACACAATGTTGAAGATGGCCACTCATTATGGCGCCGTGGAAGCTTTCGCGGAAGTACACTCCCGTGAAGAGTTCGGTGCCGTAAACCATGCACTCTGTTCCTCCATCCGCAAGCTCCTAAAGGAATATCTAGTCTTAATTGCCCAGCTTGAACATCAATTCCTCACCAGTCCTTCGTTCACACTACATGTTTTGCATCTACGTACATTGCCGACAAGCCACATGATGTTCCAATTATACTCCCTTGCCCGCGAGATGCTTCGACGCAACTCAATGCTGGAAGACGATCTCGAAGATTCAGTAGACGATCTTGATATGGAAAATATACTCGAATCTCTACGGGAAGGGGGTGACATTGTTGGCAGTAGAGGTGTTCCTGGCTCCAAGATTTGTAAAGGCGGCTCTGTGTTGGGGCTTTTAACGCTCCGGCTGGCGTCTATGGCGGGGGACCCTGCTGCGAGGTCGCTCCTGAGTTTGCTTCTCCGTGAGGCTTCCCGGCCGTATATGAATATGCTCAATGAATGGCTTCACCATGGAATGATCAGAGATCCACATGCCGAATTCCTAATCAAGGAGCAAAAAAGCATACGACGCGAGAGACTCGAAGAAGACTATACAGATGAATACTGGGAGAAGAGGTATACAATCAGGGATGGCGATGTTCCTCCGCAGCTTGAAGGTGTCAAGGAGAAGGTCCTACTGGCCGGCAAATATCTCAACGTGGTTAGGGAATGTGGAGGAGTAGACGTAAGTAAAGACGTTGGGGATGTACCCAAAAGCTTCGAAGACATCCGGTTCGTTCACCTCGCCATCCCTGTCACATCCAAGACTTTCAATTGACTTTCAGCGCACCTTAGATTTCTCGACAATGTGAACTCGGCGTACGCCCATGCTAATGAATCTTTGCTCAACTTGCTGCTAACGACACACGCTCTGCCTGCCCGGCTGCGCTCCTTAAAACACTACTTTTTCTTGGATCGATCAGACTTTTTTTCGTATTTTTTGGAACTTGGTGCCACCGAACTCCAGAAACAGGCGAAAAAAGTTAATGTTGGAAAACTCCAGTCACTCCTAGACCTCGCTCTTCGCCAGCCGGGTTCTATCGCTGCCAGCGATCCCTTCAAGGAGGATGTAAAGGTCCAGATGAATGAGGTCGGGCTCACTAAATGGCTCATGCGAGTGGTTTCGGTGAGTGGGATTGACGAGGGCGCAACAACCTTTGAGGAGTCGCATCGGACTCCAGCAGTTTCTTCCATTGAAGATGATAAATCGGTCATCGGCTTCAATGCCCTGGAGCTCGACTATAGCGTACCCTTCCCCTTGTCTCTTGTCATATCCCGCAAAACTGTTCTTCGCTACCAACTCTTATTTCGCTATTTGCTCTCTCTCCGTCACCTTGAGACCCTCTTGGTCCAAGCTTGGCAAGATCATAACACATTGTACACTTGGAAGCATAAATCCAAATATCCCCAAGTGGAGCTGTGGAAGCGCAGGGCATGGACACTCAGGGCTAGGATGCTCGTGTTTGTCCAACAATTGCTCTATTTCTGCACAAGCGAGGTTGTTGAACCAAATTGGAATGGACTCATGAAGCGTCTGGAGGAGGTCCGGACTGTTGATGAGCTCATGCAAGATCACGTGGATTTTCTTGATACATGTTTGAAAGAGTGCATGTTGACGAACTCCAAACTACTCAAGGTATGTGATCTTTTCGTCTACGCTCGTACCCACTCCCCCGGGGATCCAATACTACTCACATGGTTCTGTCTAACTCCATCGCCCAGATACACGCAAAAATAATGATGACGTGCACGATGTTTGCCTCTTATACCTCCCACCTGTCAAAGGCTCTCATTACCGCCGATCCAGACCTTGCTTCCCCATCTGCCAAGTATATGGGTAATGAAGATGCTGCATTTGACCAAGTCAGATTAGACAAACTCAGCGACAACTTGTCCAAATACGAGGAGAACTTCTCCAGGCATCTCAAGATATTGCTGGATGCCCTCAATTACTACGCTGCTACTGAGACAGTGGTATTGTTAGGACTCTGTGCTAGGCTAAGCACTGCGAGCAACGATGCCGACACTCAGGGTTTGGTGATGACAGGATAAAGGTCCACCCATGACTATCGGATAGGCATAGAATATTCAGTCAAAAATAGCGGAATCCCGACAAACCCTCTTCCCTCATATGCCTCGTTGTGCAAACCCAAACCGCGAGAAACTCAAATTGCAGACTTGATACCGACTTATCCGCAATCTGTATGCAGCACAATAGTTCTATGACGATTGCCCATATCTGAATTTCCTAGATGTAAATAATCCAACACTTCTAATACATGGGTAGCAGCTATTGGTCCAAGCAGTGCTCTTCTTAGACCCAAAATATTGCTACTCAACTACTTGTAGATATGCTTAGAGAGCAATTTAGCAGAGGTGGCTTCTGGGCATCTCGAATGACCTCCCATGTCTTGGCGTACTCCTGATCCCGCCAGACCTTCTGGTATGATGAGTTATCATACTTTTAATGCCCCACCCCTTTCTGCCTTCTATCATAGCTGTTCCCAGAAGGTCAAATTCACATCTGCCGCAGCGTTTACGGGTAGAAACCTAAGCTTCCGTTTATGATATTATACTGCCCGACACCGTAGGCCCTCAGGCCTCTAAAACATTGGCTCCTTAGAAAAACATGAAAAACGCGCCCGCGTACAGCTCAGCACAGTAGTGGCTCCTTTTTCCATCAGCCTCACCCCAGACCCAACACCCAACCTCATTATCTCGCCCACACTTTTTATGACCAACATCACACAGCTTCGCTTTCTCCCAATCTTCTTTCTCCTCTAAGCTAACACACATTACACCATATCCACTTCCACGCCCTCCCTCCTCTCCCTTCGCTTTTCCTCGCGCGTTCGCGTCCTCCCTCATACGGTATCTCAGAACTCAAAAGACCTCTCGCACGACACCCTATTTCGCCATGAATCGACAAGGTTCTCCATTCACCGCTATTCTCCATTCCACTATTAATACTACCAGCGATCAAGCGATAGGCTAACGATTTTGCTTCGATTTGCTTCGGCAACTCATACACTATCAGGCCCCGGACCCCAAATGAGATTGGCGAGCTTTCCCCAAGCTTCCTCTGCTGCTTCGAGAACTGTCGGTAGTATGCCGAATGGTAAATTAGGTTCGTGCGCATCGGTACATCTACGGAGACTGTTTACGGCGCTCACTTCCAAGCTGGGAGCGGATAGCTGACCCTAGCCCGGTGAGAGTCGCAGGTGGTAGTGGATGGCAGGGCGGACCGCCTGGAGTACCCAACCCCCCAGGAAGCAGGCCAGGTTCAGGCTTAACATTTTCGCAAAGTGGGCTCTCAAGTCCTCTGGATATGAAGTTAGTCCCAATTGGTTCATCATTCCCATTTCTATTCGTCTCTGGTCACAAACGGAGGGTTGACAGGTTCCGGTTTGGTTTGCAGTGATTTTCCCGCCCTGGGAGGCCAACCCCAGAATCCGAACGTTCAACCATGGAATAGATTGAACACCCAATCCCCTTCAGCGCAAAATCGGCCCCCCCAGCCAGAAGACATTTTCGCCAACATGGATGGATACAGAATGAGCGGTGTTGGTGGCGTTAGTGGCCAGGCACAGGCTAGGCAGGCAATGCAACCAAATAGCTTGGACGATTTCCCAGCACTGCCTAGGACTCAGGGAAACGGTGACGGTATCGAGGATCGGGGGTTCATATCTTTAGCGGGTCTGGGTGGTGCTGCACAATTTGGCGTACGACAAGGAAGTCTCAGTGCCGGAAGATCTGGGCTTGTGATGGGCGGTGGCTCCCAACCTAGCAGACTACTAGACTCCGTAATTCAACAGACCGGGAATGTCCAGATCTCTGATCTCGAGAAAAAGGTAGCGAATCCTGAGTGCTGTTTAGCTAGAAGGGATAGGTACTGACGATCCCTTAGAATCTGATGAAGACTAGCCTCACTTCAATGGTAACGAACGGAGCCCCGGGTCCGCCAACTAATATCTCCTTATCAAACATCTCACGACCTATATCACAGCAGGCTCAGCATTCTTCACCAGCGCCCGGCGTGCAGAATCCTGTTGGTCATTCCTTAGGAGCGCAGCAACAACAAGCTCAGCAATCTAAGCTACCTTCTAGTCTAACTAGTGTTGACTTTGGGGGCAATCAGTCGAATCCCGTGCAAACGCCGGGGATGGGGGAAACCGATAGGTTTGGTCTTGGCGGGCTCCTGAGCTTGATAAGAGGAGAGAGCGGTGATTATTCAATGCTGGCGTTAGGGCAGGATCTGACACAATTGGGACTCGATCTGAACCAGCCCGAAGCGCCTCTGTATCCTTCTTTTGCGTCTCCCTGGGCTGAGGTTGATTCCAAACCCGTTGAACCCGAATATCAACTGCCACCTTGCTACACTGTGCAAAACGTGCAATCACTCGGCGCCAAGGTCTCGAGTTTCTCTGACGAAACGTTGTTTTATATTTTCTACACAATGCCGAGGGATATAATGCAAGAAGTGGTCGCGGCAGAGCTGTAATAATTACCCATCTCCCTCGAATCCTGTCACTCCCCCGCTAATGCTTTTGTCCTCTCTTTTATCTTCTTCCCTTTAAGCAAAGGTCTTCGAGAAATTGGAGGTACCATACAGCGCTCAAACTATGGTTAACCAAGGACAACGCTAGCGACATTAGGCAGATATCCGAAAATGCTGAAAAGGGGATATATGTTTTCTTCGACCCGAATTCGTGGGAGAGAGTAAGGGTATGTCCCCTTTCAGAATGTGATCACGAGCAAAGTTGACCTGATCCTCAATATCCCAACGTTCAACAGAAAGAATATGTCCTCGATTACACATTCTTAGACCATAGGGCAGCTCCGGGTATCATAAACGGTTGATAGCCTGAGGGTACGCAGCTGGCCATTGAATTTAGTGGGACTTCTTTATCCTCTTGCGTCAACCGGGAGGGGAGGGCATTCTCTCAGATTTTTCCAGTGTTCCAGATATGCGAACTTCTGATTTCTTTTTTCCCTTTTCGTTCATTGCACTGTGGGTCTGGTTCGGATTTGGTGTAATCTTTTGCTCCTCAAGGTCTCGGGAATGCAGCTCCTCCCTCACTCTTTGCTCAGAAAACAATTGAAACGGGCAAAAAATACATAATGCAGACAGTGCCCTTAGATCGTGCTCTTAGTTGGCGCTTCTCCTACAGCCCTAGTCGCACGAAATTCCCGAACAGATTATGGCCAAGCCCCATTTTCCCTTCATTGGTGGTGAGACAGAATATTCAAGCATCGCAGGATGTTGTCCCGGGTGGGTTATGATACCGTAGGGTGATGGATGGTAATAGCAAAGCGGCAATGGTGGTGCAGTAACCCATTCTACTTTCCTGGACGGTCAATACCGTACCAGCACAGGTGCCCTGCTTGATGCATTCCACCATATCACACGACCCTATTCCTGAATCGGTAACGATATCCGAAGGCATCATGCCGGTAGCCTTCGCCCTGCTGTACTCGTACTCGTAGACTGTAGACTGACAATAAAATTCTGACAGTGACATAACCCTGTGTACTCGAGTGCAATGGCGCACTTATTGTGTCTTCCTTCTTCCCCTCCTTCTCCTCTTCCGTCTCTCCCCCACACAATCTCCCTCTGCTTCCAAGTTTCCGCAGTTCACCACAGGCAGACATGCCGGTGCCCTCCCCCGCGACAATAATACCACCAAATCCAGCTTCCAAGGTCATGGCGGGTGAGGCAAAGGAAGCCGGTCCCACCCTTGGAAAATCGTCCCTGATGGCCGAACGGATTCTGTCCGACATCCTTGCCGCTGGCACTGCGACGATGCTTGTTTCCCCCGGTATGCACGCTCTTCCATTAATCTTCCCCCGGTTTTCTTCATGGCTTTGTCACTTACTCCCAGCTCTCCCCCTCCACAGTGATATGTTTGATCGATCGGTGAGAAACTCCTGGCGGACGCCATTTATCAGCCCAATTGGATCTGCTGCGACAGTTCTGACCGCCAACGCTCATCTACAGGAGTATCATTGAGAATGCCTCTGGCAGGTCACCATCCGTGCTTTCGTCGGCGGCGGCGTCGCTGAAAACGCTGCTCAAGACACCTCATAGGTTTTTCTTTTCAAAGCCCTTCGCCCTTATCTATGTATGACATACCGGTTGAACCCTCCTCGTTAGATGCCCAGGCTTACGGCGGGCAGATGACGTACTTTGGAACCTACTTTACTGCGAATTCAATTGATACAGCATCGTCACTGCGAAATGGCACGGATCTGAAGACCGTCACGGCGGGCACAGAGAAGTTTGTTGCAACATCCTGGTAAGTTTTCCCCAACCCAACCCCCACTCCCGACCTGTCTATCTAATGCTGGCCCATAGTATGAATATGGGCTTAGGTCTAGTCAAAGACCGCAACTTTGCCAGGATATTTGGTACGGGTTCTCCCAGGCCCGTCCCATTGCCAACATTTATTCTTTTTTCAACAAGGGATGCTATGACAATATTTGCCTCGTTCAATGTTCCACCACTACTTGCGCCCTACATGCCACAGAGTATGGGAGTCAGGCCGGAGAGCATCGCACAGTTTTTGGCGCCGGCTGGTACGTCTTTCCAACGCCTCACGCCTCCGCAGTGAGATCATGGCTAAATACGGCATCCCAGCCTGCCAAATGCTTTCCACTCCACTGCACCTCACGGGTCTTGATATCTACAATCGGCAGGGCAAGGCTACCATCAAGAGTCGTTGGGAGGCTGTCAAGAAGAATTGGCCAGCCTCGGCACTTGCTAGGATGTGCCGCATCATTCCAGCGTACCTTTACCCGCCGCCACCCCCACCCCCACTCCCAACTCGATAATGGTTTATCCGTTAATACTATGTTTATAGCTTCGGGTTTGGAGGAGTCGCAAACGCCAGAATTCGAAGGTCACTATTAGAAAAGGTCGAGAAAAGAAGCCGGTAGTGATAAAGAATGCACAGTATATGGGACTAGCTCTCACTAGACTAACTCATCTTTTTTATTGAGAAATTCCGTTTCAATTCTCTCTCCCTCCCTCCACCCCTCTCTTTATTTCCCTCCTTTTCTTTTTTCCTTCTCCCTTCTCCAATTTGGAGAGTGCGATTACTAGGTTGGTGCCAGTCTGGAGCAAGGATTTCCCCAGCAAAGATAGATCTCTCCCCACTTCCCGGTTAATAGCAGTATGTCCAATGCAATTACTGTAGACACAATGTTTTTTTTTTGTTTTTTTTTGGTGATATCGTATGCTGGTATGGATACAACAGAGGTTATCTACTGTGCGGTAGGGTATCATACTCGAGTATCATAGTCATATTATCATGTTGAATTGAGGCTTCAAGCCAAACTGAAGGTAAAGTACTCTACAGAAGACACCCCACCCCCAGGGTCCAGGGTCGGCGGCCGGTTGAGAGGCTACGCGTTCTGTCACGCGTCCAAGGCTTTAGAATATTGATTATGTAATACGCGCTGGGTGAATATTCGCGTTTCCCCACCTTCACCAATTAGGACGGAATCTGCTTCTGGTTTCGTGGAGAGAAATATAATCTAGCTTACATGTAAAAAAAAAATTCTGAGTTAAGCCGTCTGCCCTTCCGTCAAGCCCCTTCCAATCCTTGAGTGCGAGCACTTCCCATCGTGATTATTCTACACTTCCACTTCCCGCTCATCCAGATTTCTTCTTCCAGCCCTCCCACTGAACTCTGTCCCCATTACCGGTGGTACGCAGAGCTCCTCGCACAGTAGACTACCAGTATCTTCCCACTTTTGCCTGCCCCCACCCATCGCCGCACTCCCACCACTGCACACATCACCAATCCTCTTCCCCCGGACTTGGTCCCTTCCTTTTCTCCTCTCACAGCCACCAACCAAGAACTAAACCTCTCGCCCACATCCATCATGCCACCAGCCCGTCCCCGTCCCAACCCCCACGACGACTCCCGCTCCGAAACCTCCGCCGGAAAACCCGACCGCGAGAAGTCCACTGACAAACGCCGGCAACAAAACGCCCCTCCTCCAAGCTCGCAAGAAAGGTCCTTGAACGGCGGCGCCAGCGTGAGCGGGGTTGGGGGAGGAACTGGAGCCAGTACAAATGCTAACGGTACCCATGCCCATGAGGGTATCGAAGGAGTGAGCCCCCCTCCCCCCATTACTTCTCAGGCTCCCCCCCCTCCTCTCTCTCCAAGCGCTATCGAGATGCTAACGAACGAACGAGTAAAACGGAGTAGATGGGTTGGTCAGACATCGACATACGAACACTCCATCGATACCGCTACGCCTATCGGCTTTCCGTACCGAGCTCTAGCGGGGGCTTTAATAACACTGTTCTGTCCACCGGTATCGGGCGGAGGTCACCGGCGAGAGCGAGAGTCCGGATCGGAAGAGAGGCGCTGGCCACGGCGGTTCGGAAGAACTTCAATGCGCAGCCGATTCAGGAGAATGACGTTATCGTGAATTTTCTATATTCTGTCAAGAATCAGGGTGTGTCTTTACCCCTATTTCGCCCACTCCCCTGGAGTATCTCTTGCCTTTTGGAATGCGCTCGAGTAATTAACACCTGGGTTATTCGGAACTCTATAGACAAACGATTCCGATTGAGGTTCCCGCCACCAGTAAGTAAGAAGCACGAGGCCTGAACCAGTGCCATTCCTATGTTGGGATACCCTTGCCCGGTTGGACTAGGGCTATGGATCACACGCCGACCTTTATCTTCACAGGCTTTGTTCTACTCCTACCCCTCAACCTACAGCTACTACTACTACTACGAGTTGCGCATAGTTTCTCTTCTTTTAACCCAAGTTGGTTATTTGGTGAATACACACCTACAATGTATATAGCTGCCCCCCCCCCCCCCTCTCCCCATTTCCCTGCTCCCGCTCCCTTGCCCACTTACTCTGTATGTATCTCCTTCCTTGGTGTTAGGGATTGTTTGGGCGCATAGTCACTTTTGTCGTGGAAATGCCAGCTGGTTTCTTTTTTTTTTTTTAAGAATCGTTATTGCGGCTGGTTTCTACCCTAGCGGAGTGTCGGTTAATTGTGAGAAGGAAGAAGGGCGATCAAGTTATCCGGGAGTTGGAAGTCATCACTGTATTCTCTTAACACTCTAAATCATAGCCCGGTGGGTGGGCGCAGGGTACAGAGCGATCATTATAAAATCGTGTCCAGGCTCCCATTCCTCAGCGGCAGTGGATTTGTGATCCGAGATAGAGGTCTAATCGCATCACGGCCCATCACTCGGCTCATGCCTTAAGATATATACGCTTCCCGCGGTGCTGCATCACCCACCAGCATCCTACAAAATGCTAACCGCCCCACGACTTCGAAGCAACAACTCCAATGCCCTCAGTAAAATACCACTAACTTTTGTCGAAACAGGACCGGTGCTATTCCTCGGTCCCCGGGGCCCAGGATAGTGTCCCCACAGCTCGCAAGGAAAGCAAAGGGATAGTCAGCCGAAATGGGTTTCTCGATCCGTGAGTTCTCAATACCGCATTACTGGCCGACCAACATGGGATAGGGAATCGCGATCTGTGGAAATGTCATTCTCCGGTCTGGAGGGGTATGCATGTATGTATATACATTTCCGGCATTCCGACTCGTCGACCACCAGAGCGACCCTCTGCAAGGATGATAACTCTACCATAGAACCCCCAACGCGCACCATGTAAAAAGCCCCTACAAGCCCCAGCAGGAACCCACAAGACCTGGTCGAGCCTCCGGCGTTTCCTGGCCCTCGAAGAGGGAGGGGGGAGTACCGTGTCGGAGTAAACCCATTGGAAATGGGTAGCGTGGCTTGATATATATAAAATACCAATAAAGATCCGGACTCGATGATATGGTATCTAAGAAGTGTGCGCTGACAATTCACGAATCAGGACGTTACTGTACCCAAGCACTGTACTCTACTGTGCTCGAGTACAGTGCAGTACAGTACTGCACCCGTGAAGCTGGGCCCAACACGACGGTGGCATAGGCGCTATTATGATGGGTGGCGATGTCTACTCACAACGGAGCGGCCAATGGGATAAATCCCGAAGTAGAAAAGCCTCCAGGAATTCAAGGTGTGTGTGTGATGGGGCTTTTTGGGTAGCTCACACCTTTTCGCATGGGATCCGTGGGAATGCCATGGGGGAGGACGTTCAGCCCCGGTGCTGAAGATAGAAAATGGAAAAGAAAACCCCTCACGAAACTTCTTCGAGTCGAAGCACTTTTGGTATGATACCGGTAAATGTAATGCCTTCGCAGTACCGGTATGATGCCGTGTCATACAAATCTGGCAGATCCACTGCGGACCTGGGTCCACTCGAGGGAAAGGGCTTATTATCGACCCCCCCCCCGGGTTGAATGTCTGGATGAAGGTGTCCTCCACTGGTTTACTCGAGCGCTGTACAGTGACACTACGTTGGTAGGAGTGAGCACGAAAGTGGAGGCGAGTGATGATATATGAGTGCACATAAGGGAGCATCCGGTCAAGGGGTTTTTTTCTTTTTTTCTTTCCTCATCGCTATCATACAAGGAGGTACTCGGGACCCAAAGCGCAAGGAGTTGCAAGACGTTTTTCCCGCATGAACGACGAGACCTACCGTACCGAATGTATCCCGACACAAACATACCCCGAAAGCTCCGCCCACGCCCAGGCATGACACCGCAGGTGGATCGAGCTATCATGCACTATCACTCGAATCCCGGGGATTCAATCTTGTTGTGAAAAAACGTCGCTATTGTCACTAAAAACTCTGTCTCACTATTCTCCGGCAATGACAGAGGTCTAATATACTACATGAATTTAGCAGTCACACCGAACAGGCCATCATACTCATAAGGACATCATCTTGGCACCCATATACCAAACATATACGGTGAGGTCAACCACCAGTAATCAGATCCCGAGAAGCCACATATTCCAACACCCCCACTCTTCAAGGAATCCATAACCCATAGTCTACCCAGAATAAAGAATAATAAGAAACCTATAACTACCACAGACATTGAGTTTGTGACCTCATTAAAAACCTCCCTTGGGCCTTTGGCTAGGCAGCTTAAGGGTAGGAAAGGAGTGTCACATACAGGGAGACTTTAAAGTAGTAAAGAGAAATAATACAAGGATAAAGAAATACATATGGTTAAGAACACTGTATTGTCTCATCTGTGCTCTTGGGAAGACACAGTCCCATTTTGGCTACATACTTTCAATGCACCACCCGAGGAAGTGGCTTGGTCAGAATGTCTGCTGTCATCTGAGCCTTAGGGCAATGAGCAATTGAGATCTCCTGGTTCAGTATCACTTCCCATATAAAGTGGCATTTTAGGTCGATGTGCTTTGTCCTTTCATGAAGTCGTGGTCGGTTACAGAGATTTATCGCAGTCTGATTATCGACATAGACAGGTATTGGAGAAAGCTGTTTCAATCCACTTAGCTCTGAATATAGGTGACGAAGCCAGAGTGCTTCCCTAGCTATTTCTGAACAAGTAATATATTCTGATTCTGTTGTTAACAATGCAACCATAGGCTGCTTCTTAGAGTACCAGGAGATAGCTCCCCCAGCCATCAAGAAAACAAATCCACCAGTTGACTTACAGTCCTGTATATCTCCCATAAAGTCAGCATCGCTGAAGCCAGCAATTGGAGTTACTGGTAGCTTTTCTTGATCTCTAACAAATACTAAGCCTAAGCCAATCATCGCTTTTAGGTATCACAGGGTTCTTTTTGTTGTCTGAAGCTGGTAGTATGTTGCACTTAAGTTGTACTTACTAAGGTACGCAACAGTGAATCCAAGATCCAGTCTAGTAGCAATGGCTAAGTACATGAGACTACCTACGAAGGACTGGTAGGTCTTTCTTTTGATCTCCTGCTGGGATGAGATCATGTAGATCACACTTTTGGGATCCTGGTTCCAACGGGATTTGGACTAGGTTATAGTTTCCCATTTGGAACCTCTGTAGTATTGTATTTATAAATCGGGATTGACTTAAGATAATAGAGCTTACTTCTTGGTTTACCTCAATACTCAAGAAATAAGAAGCATGCCCTAAGTCAGTCATCTTGTACTTGTTGTTAAGTAATCACTTTACTCACTTTATCTCCATAGGTAACCTTGAGACCAGTAAGATATTATCAATATAGAGGAGTAAGAAGACCTCAAAACTGGAGATATAAAGGTTTGGATCAAAGGATGAATGCAGAAATCCTATCGATCTCAAATAATAATCAATCTCTTTATCCCAAAGCAGGGGAGCCTACTTTAATCCAGAGGGCTTTCAGTAGTCGACAAACTACTAGGCCAGGATTTCCTCCATAATTCTTGACTGCAGCTGGGTCAAGCCACTCAATCCCTGGAGATAGTTCCATGTATTCTTGTTTATCAATACTTGGATTCAAGAATGCTCCAATAATGTCCATGTGATCAATCTGATAGCCCTTCTCAGGAGCAAAGGTAGTCAACATTTGGAAACTGGTCAGTCTCGCCACAGGTGCAAATGTCTCTCCATATACTACCTACTCATACCCTTTTATCACCAGCCTTACCCTGGCCTTCAATGTGCTATCTGGAAGAGTCTTTATTCTGTAAACCCATTTGCACCCAATTACAGTTTTGCCAGCTATATCAATCTCACCCATTACTTTTTTATATCTCTATATGTAATTCTTTTTCAAGCTTTCAAACTCATCACACATGGCCTGCTGCCAATGTAGAAATCTAACTACTTTATCATAGGTAAGTGAATCGTCACCCACTTCCATAGAAGGCAAAGTACTTGTAACTCCTGTTAAAATTAGAGCGACTCGCTTATCCTGTACGGTCGCAGATATGAGTCGGTGTGACTCACACCTGCGACCATGTATGACACATAGATATTTCCTTGGTTGAGTGGCTGCGCACGTGACTGGAACTTGGGTATAAAGGAATGGGAATCTCTCCTGAGTTATCTCAAGCTTCGCCCCCCATTCATACCCAGTCATTGAAATACAAACTTCACCAAAAACTCTGTTCTTGCTCTTTGCCTCCAAAAAACACTTGTTTTCTTCGCTTCAGTAGTGGTGAGATATCTGGGTTCGCCTAGTAATCCGCCCTGATGTCGGAGGAAATGACCGATGCCTACCCAGCCCCCCCCGTTCCCTCTGCCTCCGCTAGGCCCCCTGGAAGGGCCGCTAGCTCCAGGTCGCTCAGGGCCTCCACTCGAGCCTCCGCCAGATCCTCCGCCCTCAGCTCGAGGGTCGCCTCCCCATCCCTCGGTTCAAGGGCAGGTTCTCCTGGCCCCCTCGATGTTCACCAACAAGAGGCCTTTAACCAGGTCTCCCTCCTCCCCGCCGCCTTTGCGCTCCCCTTTCTCGTCGACGAAAATGACGCCCGGGATTTCTCCCCTGGAGAATCTATCATCATTGCCCTCCTTGCCAACATTGTAGCTGGCCTCAACTCACTGGAACTACGCCTCAGTCGCCCACAGGAACAGGGCCCGGCAGCACCAGCTTCAAACCTCACTGCCCTTCAGGGGTCAATCAACTCGCTTATGGCCAGGGTCTCCTCTATGGCGCCTCCGCCCAAGAAAGGGTCCGAGAAAGCCCCGTCGAAACCCTCCTTCGCTAAAGCAGCAGCCTCCGCCTCCACAAAGCCTCCCCCCCCCTCCAAAGCAGGAAAAAAGAAGCCATTAGCATCCTCCCCAGCAAAAGTAGCAGAAGCTTCGGCAAAGGAACCTCGATCGAAAGGCCCTGCCACGCTACCCTCAGCTGTCCGCCATTTCTTCTCACCTCGTACCTCCCCCTCACCCCACCAGCTGGGACCCCGCATAGCAGCAACCTTCCCCGATATAGCGGCCAAAGCACTTAGAGAAGCAAACTGCCCCTTCCCCCTCTCATTCACGGGCTCCTGCAATGCGAAGAGAGCAGTCACCCTTCTTGTCAACTCACCACACACACATGCCTCTTCCTACTCGCCTTTTTTCAACCTCCTCACGAATACCCTCAACCAAGCATTCCCAGTGGGAACAAACGCCTTTCTCCCTTTCCGGCTGGCCCCTAATGAGGTTCAACTCATTGTCCATCGGATCCTGCTCGACTTCCTCCCCACAGAGGGAGAGGACCTTTTTCAGGTCATGTATGAAGGGGTCTGCAACGCCTGCGAGGTCTCCATTCTTGCTACCCGTTTCCTCCAG